AAAAAAATTGATTTGAAGGTTAACATCAATGTTGTTGGGTTCTTCTGTTAAGCATTACCTAATAATATTGGGTTATTTTGCCAAGATCTAAATTTATTAGATTTGGTTCAACAGGCAGACCGAAGTTTATTAGGTTTGGCTTTGCCCCTAGACCTAGTAATAATAGATTCGACTGCCTAAAAACGGATATTGCTGATAGGAGGACCCAATAATAATAAGCAAAAGCTACGAGCATGACTCATTAAGGTTGGGTCTTGCTAACACCAGGACCCAGCAGTGATGAGCCCTGGTGACGCTGCTACTGGGTATTATTGAAGCAGGATCCAATAGTGATGGGTCCAAAGTTGCGAGCAAGACCTATTAAAATTAGGGGCCTGCTGCAACCAAAACTCGACATCGACGGACCCTACTATAGCCAGAATAAGCAGGGTTGGTCGGGACTGTTTTATTTGAAATCCGGGACTACAATTGGGTTGGAGAAATCTAGTTGACCAACTAGGTTTACTCGAAACTTGAGCTCCTCGATAAAAACCTGGTAGAGTCCCATTTTTAATTTTTTTTCTCTATCTAGAGACTCCTTTATATATATATTTCAATTGATTATTTACTTATTTCAAAATTCATTATATAAATATGGGAAGAATATTTTATTTTTTTAATGTGAGATTTAAATATTGAAAAAATGTTTTACTTTTTTAATATGAGATTTGAAACTCTGTAATATATGTGCTCTATATTCACAAAAAAAATTATATTTTTTAATATGGAATAAATTTTTTTTAATTTAAATACTTTCACTTAAAAAAATAAGATAATATTTCTTAAACGTAGAATAAATAACTCTCTGAAGTAATCTTTGAAGCTTAACTGTTGGCAACACATACAGGCTATATTTACATGAATTATTTTTTATTTTTTTTTTATATAAAATATTGAAATCTTATTTTTTAAAATTTTTTTAGTTTGATCCGAGTCAACTTATATAACTTAGGATCCGATCTCTTGACCGGGTCAATCTCAAAGTCGGGTTTGATAAATATATCTATTATGAAAATATAATTTTTAACTTGTTATATTTTTTAAACTATCAAAGTGCTTTTATTAATCATAAATACTGTTTTATAAAAATAAAAATTTCTAACCTTGCCGCGGGTCAAATAGCCAATAAAAACTAAATAATGTTTAATTGCAGGCTAAATTAAAAGGTTGAGGACGTGAGGGAGTCATTTTCCATTCGAAATCGAGCGCGAGAGGCTCGCCCCAGGGAGATAATAGTCTCTTACTTTACGACCCTACGTGTGTCTAGATATT